GAGCGCTCCGTCAGCCCTTTTCTCTATAACATTTGTACATGGCTACTACCACTATTGCGGTGAGGGCTTCCTTTGCTCCATTAGCTGACACTCTAGAAAATGTAAAGACGTGTGCAAATGCCCGCATAGACTCGTCATCTTGATCGCTCCCCGGTCCCCGATCATTAAATGGGATGAGCTCATTCGTCACTCTTGTGTAAAAGCAGATCTGGGCCTGGCATGTGTCGTTGGCTTATGATTGCCTATTTGGTGTGGCTGTCAGGTACCTTGGCCAGTCTCCCTTTAGAACTCCAGAATCATGAACCCACGAGGATCAAAAATTACCCCCAGGCCTCATGACAGCTGGCCACCTTACGTCTATCACCGAAGCTCTTCAAAGTCTATGCCCAGGATGGCCAGTAGGTGGCCCCTCATCTTGGGCCATGTGTGATTCTCGGATCTATCTTTGACCAATCTCCACATTACGCCAGTGCATCGGAGGACTCCCGAAAGGGCCGAAACGAAAGATCCCTTCGCATGACAGTATCGAAAGTGGGCGGAGCGAGGCCGCCGTCTGTGATATGCCCGTCGGTAATCGCCTGGACTGGTAACCAGAATGGAAGCCAATGGACCTGAAGAACTTGTGCGACAAGTGATTGGACTAAAGATAAGTAGCCGATGAATAGGTCAAGTTCCGTTCAACCGATTCTTGCAGACCAAGAAGCACCGATTGTGGTAATATTCCTCGGTGTCATTCCGATATGATTCGAGGAGCTTGCTTGAAGGTGGATATTAGGTGCTTGTTACTTCAATGAGAATAGGCGCAACCGCGGGCGAAACGGCGATCTGCGTGATGGGATTATCCACCGACGAGCGGAACACCTGAAAGAATAGGCCACCGGTCAACCATGACTATTCCGTACGAGGACAGCCACTATGTGGTACTACTATGTAAAAGTCAAGTCAAACGTAATAACTCTTGTTTACGAGACGAGGACTCCCCCTTCTAAGGCCATTGCGATGGAAGTATACCCCGAGTTCAGGGAAAGAACATTGAGCAGCTGTGGCTTCTTGTCCTGCCACATTTCATCTCGCTTGACCATTTTGTGATCACATATGTGTAGTTGCGGCTGGTTGCGGTTGCATGAGTGTTGGCAGGCAAGGACAGGCATCAGTATGAATTTGGAGGGCCAAATAGAAATAGACGCGCTAGCCTATGCTTGAGGCCTGTGCATGTCTACATGTGAGAGTGCAGCGCCACTAACACGTTGCAAAGGCGCGGCCGCTTGCAAACGTTTTTGGGTATGATTTGGCGGGTTCAAACTTTTTTTTGAAACAAGGGCCAAATGCAGAATATGAATCAACCATAGGGCGATTTGCCATCTATCTCATTGCTGGACAGTGGAAATAAACCTGGGATTGTGGGTATGGCGTACCGAAAATATTGTTTTCTATGGATTGTCCATTATCATCGGAAAGAAGGCATGGCAGGCCATGCTGCGGCGATGCAGGATAAGGCTGTGCACGCCAGTAATACCATGAGGGTTCGAACTGTGCTTATACAAGGTGTTTACTCGGCGGTCACCACTTGCATCGTTGCTGCTCGAGGGTGATTTTCATGATTTTGTAATGTGGAAGGATACATACGTAGTTGGCCCTTGTGAAATGGTACCATTAGTGGCTGTGCCACCGTTTCCTTCCCTCCCTCAAACCATCTACTCATGAATTTTCTATTCAGAAAAGCACAGCCGTTTGGCTGGTTGGTTCGTGACATGTTCTACAGTAAGGCTATCCAGGAAATTCCATGTAGATGTTCAAGACGCTTTAGGTTCCAAATTTCTCCCACTCAAGCGGTGGTGTTTGAGTCCGCATAACTTGTGGGTTACAACAAAATCACAAGTGCGATGGTACAATGGACATCAAGTTTGGCATTTTCTGAATTAATTGACTGCGCTAAATATTTTCGGCACCTAGAGAAAAGGCCTGATCTGTCAGATCTGACCACACTTTGCCATATCCTTGGGGAGGCAGAGCGCTTATGGGCGCCTTCGCAAGAATTTGCCCTGGTTGGTGAGATCATGTAGCCACCTCAGCGCTGTTCCCAAATAGGCTCACCCGGAAGGCACTGCGTCTTATATATAAAGTCCATCCTTGTTTTTCTTAGTTGATTTATCTCCAGTCATCTATAATGGCCTCTATCAACAATAATCCCTCTCATCGTTCACAGGCGACATCGGTCCCTCACATTCATGTAGAATCACCTCCCATCTCTGATCAATCGAGGTGCGCTCATACACAGTACGTTTCTCGTTGTACTACCTCGTTGACTCTTGACTCATATGTCACCCTGCGTAGGTTCGACCCAGATTTTTCATACGGCGGGTACAATCAGGATCCGTTCATGTCCTCTTCTACGCTCTTCTCTCTCGAAGGACGTAAGTTGATGCACGCCATTTGTCTATGCTCAGCTCAACGTGTTCTTAGCCGAATCTTTAAATCCTCAATTATCATTAGAGGATTTGAGCACCGAGGGCTTTTACCTCGGGGATCTTGAGACGTCGCTTTTACGCGCTACTCAATCGCAAGACTTGCTTTTCCCAGAACAGTACCCATCAGAGCAGTACCCATCAGAGCAGTACCCACCAGAGCAGTACCTAAGTGGCCCTGACCCGTTTGCATCGTCTTCTGCCTTCCAGGTGACCCCGCCTTCCCCGCCACCGCAGACGATGCCACAAAATACAGCTGGCAACATGCTCCGTATACCTATATATACGCCATCGCCCACCTCATCCTACGTCACGCTGTCCCCCAGCCACAGTCATGAGTCGCCGTCGTCTCCATGGTCTGATGTTACTACCCCCTCTTCTGAGGGTAGCGTGTCTCCCATGATCCCGCCTCTTTATTTTACCACACCCTCTTCTGAGGGTAGCATGTCTCCGATGATATCCCCTTCAGGTCTTTCACGTCGAGAAAGCTCAGCTTCTCTCCGACACCACCATTCCCCCAGCGACCCCTCATTTGGTCACACACTTTACCCCCCGGCTATCGCTAGGCACATTCGCTCACGTTCAGAGTCTAGCACGACTCGTCCTGTCGCTAGTCAAGCGATGCTTGAAGCCAACCAACGGCGTCGACGCCACGACGCCACCTATAGATGCGATGAGTGTGGGCAGACCTTTACCGCTGTGTTTAGCTTGAAGCGTAAGTTCTATTCGCTGAAATACCTTTGCGGTGTCGCTGAGATAAATCCAATAGGTCACGCTCAGTCTCACAGTGGTGTACGACCATTCTTATGCAACATTCCTGGCTGCAATCAGGCATTCTTCAATCAGAGTGACTGCAGGCGCCACGAGAAGAGCAGGAAGCGTCACAAGGGTCTTCCCCAAACCTTTTCCGACTCGCCTTAATCTTGGCATGTGTCATTATAAACGTCACCCCCTAACTGGACATTCCCTCTTGCGCATTCTTCTTCATTTTTGCATGCAGGCATCATACACCCTTCGTCTTGTCTTGCCTCGTTCCCCCACCTATGCCAATCTTCCAACTCAATATATTCAACATCTGGATGTCCTCTTGTGGACCACGTATACCATTACCCCTGCATACCCTAATTTTTTTTTTACCGCCATTCACTTTATATGGCGTTGTTCTAGCATCTGTTTCATTCGTACAATAATCTTTGTTTGCCCTTTCGGTCCCGAATTTACTGCCAATTGCTGCCAATAATTATTGCATCGTTCTTGCTGTGTACCCAGGCTTTGAGTTGCTATGCGTTGTCAACTGGCCTTGCCAACGCAACGTCCTTATTGTCCTCTTTCTTGTTGTACTGCATCGTGTAGCCTTGCGAAGCTTTCTTGACAATAATCTAAGATCTTTCAATGGATATCTCTCATGCCTGTCTGTGCGTTGAGCCTGTCCTAACTCATTGTAGCATTATGTACTTCCCGCACATGCGAAGTCAGCGAAACAATTGTCGGTGCCATATCAGGCCCAGGGCGTAAGTATTTCGTATGGGGGACGTATTGGGGACGTAAGAAAGTCGTAAATTGCACAAGTAACATGACAACATGTCGAGAAAGATAAGCACACACTAACAGCAGAGGATTCATGAACTCAAGACATGGTTGCCGCAAAGTTTCAGCCGAGTATCACTGAATCGAAACCCCAGACGCCGATAATCAAATAACATTTGTCATTGATTGATCAAGATACTCCCCGTGGCTCATCACTCAAGTAAGTTGGATTCTCTTTATGCTGAAACCTGTACAGCAGATCAACAACAGATTGATACATACTACGAGCACGGGCCGGGGGTTATAGAGATGTTTTGGGTTGCCCGTTGCCATCTGAGCTTGAGAACAGTATCATCACATCAAAAGTTGACAATGACATCTCCGTCGTCCGATCTCCCTCCGCGGATGATCCCACCCCCCACAGACCCGGTTATATATTAAGTAGATCCCTCATTCCGAACAGATCAACGGTATATCATATATCTTCCGTTGTAAGTATAGACTTATAAAAATGTTCTGGGCTCGCGGTCCAGGTTTCGTGATGGCAAAGTTGACATATAGATCTCCCTCCGCGGCTCCGTTCTCACGTGTGACGTACGATAGGCGATTCAATTCATTCAAGCATTGCCGCAGCTCAAGCTGGTTGAATCCTGCAAAAGGAAAATATTGTCGTGTGATCTGTGTTATCGGTGTGATCGAGGATAGCAGACCCAGTAGATCCGGTAAGGTGTACATACAGCGTCTGGTCTATTACTCAGTAGTCGAGATCCCAAGAACTACAAGACCATATAAGTAGTTGTCTCATAGGGGTCACAAAGAAGCCCGGTGACGAGAGTATCGTATTGTCATCGATGTCAGGGCCAGTTAGTGCAGTCGACAATCCGCTAGTGAATTGATATCAGTATGACATTGTCGTGAATGAGGTGAGATGTAACTACCAACTCGGAAAGATGACGGTCTTTATGTAAGTCCACGGAAAACAAGGGATTGGCAGCCGCTCGAACGTCGCACTGAATCGGAAATAGGACAATATGAGCTATTCCCTTTGCGCACTGAAAATATTTGCCATGGCGTCTGGCAGAACACAGGGCCCAAACTAAATGTCGTGTTACCTACTGACGGCAATGCGATGTTATCGCAGTGATGCCATCTGTCTTGTATGGCGCAAGTATTTCTAGTAGGGAAATTTAAATTCAGGAGTGTTATGAAATCAAAAATCAAATTCTTGAGACGAGGTAACGAATACGATATACACTGTTCAGAGCGACGACCTGCCAATCTACATGGCGATATAACCATACTTCCTTGCATTAGGCTAAGCAGTAGGTCGTATAAGTGGCAGTCAAATGGAGCATATTGGAAGACTCACAGAAACCACGACGATGTTGTCTTCGCCAATCATAGCCGCCTCCCAGTCGTGAGGTGTATCACTCGGCATCACTTCTACAATCGCAACACGGCCAGGAAGATAAGTGTAGACTTCTTCATTGAAGGCAGAACAACGCGAACTGAGTGCCCGGACCATTCCTAAGCGTTTCCACAGAAGCTTCGGTTCCGTTGTCTGTTCATTTCGAACATCCCTCCTCGCCGCATACTTGTTGAAATCATACACCCTTGCGCGGGTCCCTTTTTGCCATCGCAGAAGCTGGATGAACTTCATACCGTAGACGTAGCAAACCCAGACTTCGGACGGGTTGCGAAGGAGCATATGAGAACCATTCGGACCCCATTTCCTCCATGGGACAAGCCGTTTTGGTGTATTGTGGGTCAATTCAATCTGAGCCATGATAGTGGATAAGGGAACGATTAGCACAGTACTCTCTTCGGTGCTATTGCTGTCGGGGCTAACCCGCATGGTGATGGTGAAGATGCGGTCACTGCGAGCGAAGAAGAAGGGAATTCGGAGAGACTGAGAGGGAGACCAACCCGGAGTCGGCTCGGAGCGAATCAACATGTCTATAACGTTGGCCTTCATCTTTGGATACTCCAGGCCGCAAATATAATTGACATCCTGATACTGCACCATCGCTCCGCTGAAGTTGTCAATACTGAGGACGTCCAGACGGGGGGGCGCCTCGTCACTCTCCACAATGCCGACCAAAACCAAGTTTTCTGTGACGAAAGAAAAGGATTTAAGGTCTGCGTCTCGAATGAACTTGGAGTGACCCTCAATAATCAACCTGCGGCAGTAGGCGTGGAAGACGTACGAGCTTCTGCTGACCCGATTTCCAGTCCCAGATCACCAGCTCGCAGGTGGGTTCATCTGCGAGTTCTTGAAACAATACTGCAACGCGGGAGCCACAAACTTGAATAAGGAACCTAAGCTCTTCATGCTCGCTGGATGGCGTGTGTGTCACGAAGGGCACGGAAGACATTGGATGATGCTCGCCAGTCATTAACGTTCTCATGTGTATCTTGCATGATAGATTCGGGCTGCGCCATTTATCAGGGGTACATCTCACAATTTAAGAGCATCAAAACGTACATGATACCTACTGGTTCCACAGCAACGATCAAGTCCTGGGACGTATCGATGGTGAAGTCTCGGATCTCGAATCCAAAGTCATTGATAGACCATTCTCTCTCGGGAATGTCTTTGATTTTGCAGGGAAGTTGTAGGCATGAAAGCCCTGAGCGCATAGCTTGACACAATACTCCCCCGGACAATTCCCAAGCATGACCTTCCTGCATGCTTACGAACCGAGAATCCGGAAAAGATAGGTTGTTCCAAGCCTGTTGATATTGTCGGCAGGCACGAAGGCGGCTAACTGTATCAAGATTACAGTGGCGTCCATTCTCAAACCGTCCAAAAAACAACTCGATTTTGTAGAGAAGTTGCACATTAGTGGCGATGACGGAATTGAACAACCGGCATACCTAGAATTCAGCGTGAGTAACGGGTTTGAGTAGGACCAATGTGTACATACTTCTTTGCATCTCAGAAGGGATACTACATCAAGTTCATCGAGAAATAGAGCGATCAACTCGTTTGGGAGAATGAATGCTGTCTCGACGTTTCCCTGCTGGTCGATATCCATGATCTAGGCTGAAGTTGACCTTTTTGTGAGAAGAAAAGTTCTGTGCTGTTTTGTGAGACTCACCGACCACGCTTGAAAGAGTCAAAAAGACCTCGAACTTGGATTCAATCACCTATACTTAGATGATGGCGTCTCCTAAGTAAGTGCAGTTTTTAGTATTGGGCAGTTCCCACGATATACAAACGATTTGCCGGCATCCTACGAGTTCACCATTGAAGCTCGTCATCGCGAGTCTCGCCAGCTGGTGTCACCTAGTTCTTTTGAATTTCAGTAAGGAGCTCATACCGCTTTCGTATACGTAACTCCCAACATGGATATGCGGCGATCCCTCGCGGCCCACCCATCTCCGAGAGTCTCGGATCATATGTGTATCGAAGTGAAGAGTGCACACGTAGTAGGTTATTCGCAAAGATCCCAGCTTCAGACGCAACTCAGTCAGAAATTGTATTAAGAACAATAAGCCTAGCAAGGTACTAGGATTGTTAGTGGCATTATAGGTAGAACATGTATGGACAGCCTCTGCAGCCTTCCCACAGGATATTTTTACGAGTGTGTGACAGGCGAACTTGACAGTCACATCTGCGCTGCCGCCTTCACATGCACGACAATGTGACATCCCATATGCGAACGTGATCTTTGAAGGGCACGTATTACTGCTCATACTGTAGCACGGAGAAATGTGAGAACAGCCGCAGGTCCTGAGGATGGAGAAGATCATTAAGCGGGTTGAATTGGAGGCCGATAGCATATGCACACCGCTAACTAATATATGTAAGGACGAAACGTTTGATCCCGCGGAACCACGAGATAACAGCTACCAGACGCCAAGCTACCATCTCCTGGTTCTTTCTCATACAAACAATCAAAAATCAAGCATATCGAGCCTTCTTCCCTTGATTTTTTGGCAGAAGCAATGTTTCATCTCCCGGTCTGGGCCTCTTCTGCTTCAGGAGATTGGAGAGCGGACAAAGTTCTATGCCACCAGCACGCCGTTGTGCATCATTAAGATATGCTGCCGCTTTTGTGTGCATATCGTTCAGAAGAGCATCGTCAAGCGCTAGGAAGGGAAAATTTGCCTCCGCCCTTTCATAGCCATCTTGGAGAGCGGCTGCGAAATTAGGAATAATAGGGCTGCAAACATTAAAGCACGTCTTTGAAAGAAGATTTTCAAGCTTCTTTTGGAGTCATCCAGTGTAGAGGAAGAAGTGATGGCATGATATCTGGCCGACAAAACCAGGGAAGGCCACTTGGTATTCTTTCAACTGAGCATGTGCATCAAAGGAATGGTCAGCATTTGCCATCTTCGTGTCCGTGTGATAAAATAAAATCCAGGTAAATGCCCACCATATGGATTCAATGTCGTGCAGGAAATTCATGCGAAATGTAGGTTGGTCCAGACAGTGTGCATGACGTGGGAGGAAAAGGTAATTCTGGCTTTCTACTTCCACTGCCATGAAATGCATTGTTCCCTGTCGACAAGTTAACAGTGAAAGAGATCATCTCCAAAAAATCTTACCATTCGAACATCATTAGAAGTGTTTGAATCTATCTCTTTTGCATACTCGAAGTCACCCAACTTCCCCACACCCCCGACCCAAATTGTGTTCCCGATGCTGAAATCGCGATGGACCCAGCCTGCTTTGTGCATATAATGCAAGGCTAAGTTGAATGAGCGACTGAGGAAAGGAGAGTGACAGTAGTTTGCTCACCCAAAAGTGTGCCAGACAAGCAACTCAGATTGTTGGCCAAAGAGGTGACATCCTTGAGAGCTACTCCGACATCAAGGAAGATAGTGCGAGTATGGACTCTGCGTGGGATGACAGTGTCTTTTCGCGCAATAATGCCCAATTGTGTGGGAAGAAAGGTAGACAGCTGACCAGAGTCAAGTACATCGCCTGTGCTAGGTAAATGTGGTGTCATGGAGATGATGGGATTGAGGTTGATGGACACTCACTGCCAGGTATGATTATGCTCTTCTGCGAACATTGGGTCCAGCGTCTCATCTGGGGTATCGTTGATTATCACATCCTTCCAGAGCCAGACTCCAACAAAGTGCCTCTTGGCATCCGCCAACTCCTCCGCTTGCAGCTTCTCCACACAGGAAGCCAAGATGTTTTCTAGGATCTCGCCCTCTGATTGATGTCCAGCTGCTCTCCATGAATCTTTGACAGCAACTTTCTTTCCCTCGGCGTCCGTAGCTTCGTACACACGAGTTCCATGCCCAACCATAGAGTCTGCGCCATAGGTTGCAAGTTCACGTGTCGTGGTGAACACTTCGTCCCTGATAGTGAACTTGTATTGGAAACCCTCCCCATCATGGATCCACTCGACAGTGGGGTCCCATCTGAGCTCTTTCATAGTAGAAGATGCAGACGCAGATCCAAGAGTGTAAAAGAGCGAGATAACACCATCGATGTTCTAGATGTACCATGCCTGTTAGCACCCTGACACACAGCGTGATATGTTTGTGTACCTCGAAGAAGTTGATAGGTTCTGTAACCACAAGGAACGCACGATTGCTGAGCCACAGTCTCAATTGCGTGTCCTCCATTGTGATACCAAACGCAAAACAACGAAGAAGATCCTTGTGCATGATACTGTGAAGGCTCCAGATTATCTTCTGTTCGTCCTAGAGCAGGCTTTGTGAGCGGATGCCAACAAGATCTGTAACAACTTACATCTCGGAGAGACTCTCTATCCTGTGCCTTCTTGAACTCGAATGGCACAGCAATATCAAACCAATGTATCTTGGGCTGGGTTTTTTTGTTGCTAAGTACAAGGTATCCATCAGGCCTGGAAGTATTGTTGCACTGCGAGAGGGGTGTTACGTTTGGGTTCGCTATAAAGGACACTCCACAATTCAGGACTTCGGGCAAAATTTCAGCAATGATGTGGCCGAGGGGCTCAAACACATTCTCTTTGGACCCTTTTGATGTGGCAGGTGGGGTAAAGTCTGTCCATCACAAGCCACTCTCGTTGTCAGTGAGAATCTTGCTCTCTGTCAAGTTATTGCGTATCCGCTGCAGATCCTGATGAGAGGGCATAGCACCAACACATTTAACTAGGCAATCGAATGGAACCCGCAGATACCTTCCCAAATCAGTGAGAACAGCAATGTGGCCTAGTTTCAGATCCCCCGTGCGATAATCAGCTCTGGAGGTATGACAAATGAATGGAACTGTATCTGGCAGTAGCATTTGTGGATTCTGTGATGGTGGTGTATGAGGGGGCTTCAGGTTGCATGATAATTTGATGAGACAAGTAAGGACAATGTGGATTTGCGAACTGAAACTGTGATTATTCCAAAATTATCTAATCGAGGGTTAGCGATTTTGTCCTGGGCCTCAAGGTTGACTGAATGCCACTAGAAAGTGGAGAAGTCATCGGAACACTTTGAGTTATGGAGATGAGGCTGTCGGTTAGTGATTTGCTTCTTATTCACGCATATACACTAACATGTTGTAGTTCTGTCCTTCCCACCCGTTCATGGTGTTCATCCTTCACTCACGCTGAAGACCACCGCAGTACCTGCTTGTGACGATCAGGATGGCGCACTGTTGGATGTGAGTGATGTTGGCCTGTGATGTTGGCCTCTGCTGTCAGCTTTGTTCTGACAGAACATCAACTGTAGTCCCTCGTAGACTGTGAGATCGCTTGAGATACAGATGTGGGCCACGCACAATTTGTCGAATACATGACAGGTGAGAGCGTCTCTCACCAGGCTGAATGGTGCTGTAGAGCATTTTCAGTTGGTTCTAGACCAGTGTCCAGTTAGCCATCCTGACCATGTAGCGGCTCTCACCAACTTCGCATGTACATGTCTTCAAGGGTATATTTGCAATGATATTCAAGATATCAACTCTATGATTTCTCTCTTTCGCGACGCCTGGCGAGATCCCTATTCTTGCGAGCAAACGGCAGTTACTAGATGAAGCTGGCGGAGAGGATAATAAAAAGGAGGACAAGAAGGTCGAGGGAAGCGGGCAGCCAAAGGTGCTTGCTGACGGAACATATGAGATGGCGTACACTAGCACCAACTCAGTGAGAATAGAGGCTGTCAAGGCCACCTGTTCATGGCAGACTTATGCATAATAATGGCTGATTGTAGACGAGTCATTATGTATGGTTCATGCTTATCCCTCGTCGTTATACATAATGCCCTCGAGGCCACTGGTCATACATAATGCCCTCAAGGCCATCAGTCTCCCAATATAATGCCCTCGAGGCCATCAGTCTCCCAATGTTTCTGAATCTGGACTGGATCTGATCTCGATAATCGAGGCCACTGATTTCATTTCTATCGGGAGTCTTCTGATATGGTTCCTGGATCTAGGAGAAACACCAAATTTGAATTGACATATACATACATGGAAGTACAGTACTGGCACGCGAACAGTGGGAGAGACATCGAGCCTATAACTGTACCTCTGCAGTCGCGGAGGACTCTATCATGGCCCACATGTTGTTGAAGGCTATCCGTAAGTTTCTCCGAAGAGATGCTTGGCGTTTGGTGTAAGCTTTGATGCCCTTGCTCGCAGCATCAGGTAAGCCCGTTCTTCGCTGTTAGTTAGCTACGACGTGCGTAGCTAGAGGCGATGTGAGTGCGAAGGGGGTAGATAGACCGCTGAAGGAATGATAATGATTAGTGTTAGCTTCAAATGACGGATGACGGATGCGAGAGATATCGTGAATTGGTAAACGAGAGTGACCGCGTTATAGCGATGATAAGAGAAGGTAATGAGACAGGTTCTTCGGGGCGTTCTTCTGGGGGATCTACTGTTCTATTCTGCTGCTTATTAGGAATGTACATGGGCTACTTATACTGTAGGATGAGGAAGGGTCGTCCTAGAATAGTTAAAGGCAAGGGCTCGGTGTACGGTCGGTGAAAGCGGTAGCTGAAGGGAGTGGCGTTTGTATTTGATAGTGTAGCGAGAGAATGATATAAGAGTTGTTGACAAGGTGAAGACGGTGGTATTACGAATGGAGGAACAGTAACGACAGGAAGGGTTTAGCGAGCGATAGGAATTGAAAGGATAGGTACTAATAAAAGGGGTCGGGTATCGTGCTTGACAAACGGTCCAGGCGTTGACGTGGTGGTTGCGGTGAGAGGAGTATCGGCATGTTCCGGCTATAAACGTTTGGTAATTCTTACATTGCCCTGCCTGCTCATCCCACCATGTAGCATGCCATGAGAGGAATTCTCTGACATGTCACATCTCCTCCAGTAAAAG